TATGTTTACTTAGTTTGTAGACTTTCACTGTATTAGAAAATGCTATAAAATGATATTACTTAAATAGTCACCACAATGTAAATAAAATATTAAAGTTTGCTCAGTATCTTGTTATCTTTTAAATATACACTATTGGCTTTTCTACTTCTTAAATATTGTGTGTAAAAAAAAAATGTTTTCCAATTATCACATTTCAGGAAAGTGTCTGCATGAACAGCTAGCAGCCAAAAAGTAGACTTTAAAACAATAGAACTTCACACATTTTATTCGCTAGAAATATTTGCTCCCTATTAGACAAGTAACAAACTCAATAAATGACATTACTGTTTCTATAATAAAGAACTACTGTATAAATCATCCAGAGTTTCTTTCCTTTAAAATAACATGGCGTAATTCTCATCTTTTTCTAAACAAAATCTTATTATTCCAATACACGTACATCAAAAGTCTAAACACTATGTGACGTGACAGAGCGGATATAGCTGAAAATCTATCCACATACTAACAGTGCCTGTGTAAATGTCTGTGTATTCCTACTTAGATATAACAAACAAATGGATGAAAGGAGGGACAGACGGACATACAGAAATCACGTTCCCGCCATTTGTCAAAAGGCGATGGACGAGGTGTGTACCAGTCCTAATAGACTGAATAATACAGACAATGAATGTAAACAACAATGTTAAAGAATAATATACTGGTCTAGTTAAGCTCCATTTTTCCGACTTTCCAAAATATTGTTATGCCATACCGACGTTTTGAGAATGTCTGACATATTTTATTAAGCAAATATAAATGGTAACATAAGCATGACATGAAATAATATAAACAATTACTAACACACTGTTTCTTTATTTAGTTTTTTGCCCGTTTCTTATTAAAACTGTTCGTGATCTCTTTAAGTGAACTCTCTGAGGCACTGAACGTAATATAATTGGAGGACAAGCCATATTTCCATCACCACCGCTATTATATCATCTCCTTAAAGTATTCCATCTGCCATTTGTTGCATTCAAGGCTGGAAGCCATTTAAAAGCGTGTCGTTTTGCATGCACACTGCTAATAGTTACGGGCTGAAATCCGTGACGGGCTTAAATCTAGTGATGTGCTTAAATCTCCTGAAATACTTAAACCTGCTGATAGGCCTAAATCTAGTGACGGGCTTAAGTATTTTAAATCTTGCACAGTGCATTCTTCTTTGTGCCGTATTGGAAGAATATTTTTATAGTAATTTATTGTTATAACAGGTTGTTGAGTCACCAAGGGTCTGGCTCTTATTGTTCTTCATCATGTAGATTCGCTCACAATCTCTCCTTGTCCATCGATTTTATTCGCTTACGCCGGGTCCATTCTGTTTCACACTGTGACAGAATATATTCTTGCAACACTTAAGTACACGCAAACAAACGATATTAATTTTCTCCTGCGTTATTCCCATTTGATAATCATAAGATAGTTTTCGGTATTCTCTTGTCGAATTTTGTCTCAGCAAATGGTTTTCTATCTATCTAAAGTAGAACATTTTTAAAAAAATCGTCGCTTACTACCATTTTAATGATCCCATTTCGAAACAATATTCCTGGATCTGGCTGTGATACTTAATAAATTCATTACCAAGCTGTTAATTATGTATTTGATGAGAAGTGTACGATCTTATACCGGTACCAATCTGATGAATTGTGTAAAACGCACTTAATTATTTTTAATGACAATTAATCATGGGCCCAATAGCTTGAATATGTAATGCCCAGTACTTGGAGACAGTAAATTAATGTAGTGAAAGAAAATGACCCAACCTCTACATTTTAAAGTCATTGTGATTTTGAATTGCTTGGAAGAGACAAAAGGAAAAAAAAGGTTCCAACATTTGAACTCGTAACAAATTCACATCAATTTTAGGCATTATTAGTTATAACAAAAATTTTGAAGTATGTCGAAGAAGCTTTTTGCAGTTTGGGCAAAACTGACCAGAATATGACATGAGGGAATAAATCACTCCACTCGAAGAAACAGCGTGTTCTTTTAAGAATTTCATGCATATTGGACCCGAATAATCGGTGAATAATTAGTGAAAACGTAAAAAAAATCCCGATGGGATGTAGTTTAGCATAATGTAAATAAGGTAGTTTGGCATAATGTAAATAAGGTTTAATTAGTATGGAAAACTAAATAACTGGCACAGAGTTTCAAACAAATCCGTGAATAATATAAAATAAAAAAGTGTAGTTGGCAATCACTAACTGCCTATGTGAAAATATCCGTGAATAACGTTCACTTTAAGCAAGACGCACCTTTACCACCCGGACTACACCTACAATCAACCGACTTCTGAAGAAACGAACCGGAACAGCTACAATTAATTGAACGATGGCTAATCCTTCTGTTTTTTTTTAAATGTACCAATAAAATAATTTTGCAGAACCTTCAGAGAAAATTGATTTCCTAGGAAGTACCGATCTTTGTGTATAAATACAAAGTAAATGGATAAATATTCTCAATCAGAATTGTATACTGTCAACAGTGCACTTTTATCATGGGTAAACAATATTGCTACATTGTTTGAGCTTGGCCGAAACTCTGGTTTCTCATCACATCGTATTAAAGGTGTAGATGTATCGAGGGTCAACATAGAATTATGGAACTGATGGTTTCAATACAACCTTCCTGTGAAGTGGCCTTTTGGTATCTTAGGATGTGAGGGAAAGGCCACGAGCCGAGAAGAAGGGACGAGCCATACTGAACTGGAAATGTCTACGGATATACATTTAAGAAAATGGATTTGTACATACGGAAATGAACGATGGGAAAACTATGTATAAAGTGGAACCGAATATGGTAATGAACTAATATTTTAATGCCACACAAAGAAAATGGATTTAATGGACTAGAACATAAATATTTTGAACTACTGAAAGTATTGGAAACAAAATTTTAAAAAAGTTGAATTTGTAAATTGAAGACACATTGGAACTTGTTGCAGAAACGAGGAACATTTAGAAATATATTAAAAAATACCTTGACTGACCATAGACACAGTACTAAAAAATCCTGACTGCTTACCTTTGAACTATCCTTGCAAAAGCTTTATTTATGTTAATATTTAAAACTTATTTAAAATGAATATAGAACTTTTTAAAAATGGTATAGATATATAGAAATAGAAAAAGATAGAAATTTAGAACTTACTAAAACTGGTAGATTATAATTTTATTTGAAAATTTTACACACACGAACATTAATATTTAAAATATTAATACTGAACCAATAAATAAATTGGGGCCCCGAGTGGCCTAAAGAGCTCTCAGTTACGGATCACTGCCATCTCACCTCTGTCTGCTTGGGTTCGAGTCTAAGATTCGGCGAATGTGGATGTGTGAGAAAGCTTGTCAGTAGATTCTCGTGCGTCGATAAATTTTACGCGGATTTCCAGGTGTCTTCCTTCACTATTAATACTGGCCGCCATGTATAGCTATCGTGCGCTGAAAAATGGTATTAAGCCGCAAAACAACAACAACAAATAAACAAATTTTGTAAACATATATGTTGATAATTAGTTCGAAATAATATAATTTTGAATTTGAATATGAGGAAATGGTGCAGTACGTGCACATTGTGCTCACTGTTGAGAACGCAGGTTGTGCACGTGCGCCAAAAACTTAATGTATCTGAAATTAATTGAGCAGATTATGCTGTTGCATTTAGATGGGTGTTAAAACTAAAACATATACTCTTTTATTAATAAAAATGCTATGTTAATTATTACAACAAAAAATAGAATAAATATAATATGAAATATATTGAAATGCATCAAATTTGAGTGGTGTATATACCCTATTTCAAAATTATAAATCAAAATTTGAATAAATAAAACACAAAGCACATACACATAGATAAAATACAAATACACAAGAAAACCATTGAACTTTAGACCTAGGGGTCCCTCGTGATTATTTCAATTCTGTGAGGGACCACACCAATAAACTATCATGGGTAAACGTAAATTAGACGTTACACGTTCATCGTCTCATCCTAAGGTTAAGTTAACAAAATTAATAGCATTTGGATTTAGTGCAAATTCATCAGACAACAGTGTAACATATATGTAATTAAATTGTTTTTTGTAAGGTTTAAAATTCTTTTTATTTCATTTTTGTTTAATTGTATTTAATGGCAATAAATATTTTTCTCGATATCGGGATTCTATTTTTAGTAGTGAGGTATAATTTTAGCACAAACTTTGTTTATTTAAGACGAAATAGTAATACATGAGGGTTGGCATTTAGTTCGCCTTACATTGGTAAAAAATCGACAGGAAGTTAGGAAGTTAGGAAGTTTAATTCCACTTAGCCATTCCACGAAGTCAAACGTTTTAGCCTGTCTAGGGAGTAATGGTAAGTTTAAACACCGTTATGCATAAAACTCCAAACGCGTTAAATATATTTGGTCAAATATTAGGATGTTCTTTCCAATGGTTATAGGAACAGTTGCATGACATTACAAGTCCTCTGGAGCACAAAAAAATTCAAGGAGGAAAAGGGTATAATCGTATCTGCGTTTCATTGAAAAGATGTTACGTTGTTTTGTTGTTTGCTTGTTTGTCTTTTCGATAAAACAATGTTTCTCGTTTGCTGTAAGTTGTGAGCACTTTGGAGAGGAAATTTCATTTTGCAAATGTGAGAAGCATCAGGCAGAGTCCCTCGTGTTTTCGGAGCTAACTGATGCCCAAACTTTAAAAGTCAGATTTCATAATTTCCGGTGTTTTTCAAAAAGCTATTTAAGCATTATGCGATTGTGGACTACATACAAGATTTACCTATCTCTGAAACTGAAGAGTTTGACAACATGCCAAACTACGCATGTGCGCGCGCGCGTGTGTGTATGTGTTAGTGTGTGTGTGTGTGTGTGTGTGATTTTTAACGTAGCTTTGACAATTGTCTAGTCATGTCGCTACGATGTCTGCAATGTAGCAGTTTATAGTTATACCTAGTACTGGGGCATCATGCCACAGACACTCGGGGTTCGAACCCTCGACCTCTCGCATCCGAGGCAAACGCTCTAACCACTAGGCCATCAGAGAGGTCAGAAAATTAAGTACTATTGAAACTGAAGATTTGAGGACGAAACTGCTTCAATTAGAATGGACAATTTTATGCTTTGCAAATAAAAATTTCAAAAAAAAATAAATTTTCGCAAATATACGAAGAAGTTTACTGAATTTAAATTACAATCAAATCATTTTTTAATCATGTAAATAAGCAAATAATTTATCTGATCGTTTCGCACTATTTCATTAATATTAGCATAGAGTCGTGTTCTTTAAGCTGGTTGCCTTAGGGATAATATCCAATATTGCATATAAACTCAGAAGCTAACATAAACTCTTATTTAGCAGCTTTTAAGATTCACAATTCATTTTTAAAACTATTGTTATGGGTGAGCAAAATAACTGAGTTAATTTTTAAACATGTTCACTCCAAACTACATAATGAATACAGACAAACTTTTACATTCTGTTTTGCAATAACTTTTTTCCTTTCTTACTGATATTCATTCATATCGGTAGAGTACGAAATTCTCTCTGTCTCTCTCTCTCTCTCTCTCTCTCTCTCTCTCTCTCTCTCTGTCTCTCTCTGTCTCTCTCATATTGAAACACACGCAACTATATTACATCTTCATATTCTACGGTTTATAACACAGTTTTTAAATTAGTTTTCCATATTTAACCTAAGATTAACGTTTAAGTGATGAATTTGATAGCTGACAATTTTTGCATCCGGAAGAAATTCGAATAAGAAAAATATGTTGTCATCAACTTGGGTTAATCATTGACATTTCTCACAACAACTACAGTTTTTCATTCTTGTGACAGAAAACGAGAGGAAAATCATAATGTGTGACGACATTTCACAAGCATTTATATTAAATGAAATCTTGAAAATTGTCTTTTCTGAAGAGAATCCACAAGTGGTCGCCGTTTTGCTGATACCGTTAAGTCTAATTCGTTTCTATCGTTAAAAGTTTCTCCTCTTGTTTGGTAATGCACGTATCATTATCTACAAAAATATCGTAATTGTCAGATTTTCTATTCAACTTTCGATGAGAATGAAAGACAAACTCAGTATAGTTGAGATTACAACAGCCACTTTGAGTTCAGCCTCGAGTTTTTTAAAATTAACACTAAAGCAAAGGTCTTCAAACGAAAACCACAAAAAGAGCCCCACAAGTATCAGACTCGACGTCATAGTTGCTAAATATATGACTCCGCTTTATGGCGATCTACTATCTAGTTTTGGATATTATTCCTAAGCCGATCAATGTCGAGGTCACGTCTATACTTCAAAAGCAACAAATTAGTTCCAAACCCATGGCCCCATTACTTTGTTTAATTTGATGACTTAATGAAATCAATCTAATGCATCATGGAACTAATTTTCAAACTAGGCACAGATCTTTCAAAAGAGTATGTTAATATGCATTTTGGCAAAGCTTAAGATTAAAATTGCTGATGTTTATTAGCGCACATTTGTTGTGAGATCACAGTTAATAGTTCCGATTCAGTACGCAAGAATATAGTCCTAGTCTCATTTTAGAGAATATTTTCCTGTCCCATTTGCTGGTGATACAATAGTTAGATTTATATATTATTTTATATGGATGTAAAGGTAATTGTTTATTATTTTGAATATAAGCTTATGGTATGGTTGTCAGTGTGTGTTTTGGCGACAGTGTACAGTGAGTAATAAGGTTTTGGTGATGATCCGGAAGTGAAGTCCGTGTTCCATTGCACCTTGTTTTGTTTACAGTTGTTTACAGAACTTGTGAAGTTTGACATGCAGTGTTGTAATGTCCATTAAGCTTCCATCATTTTCAGCAGCTTTGGTTTATTCATAGCTGAGTGGAAGACGAAACATCTGAAATTGAAACATAAGTTTGTTCGAAAAAGACATGCCTTCATAATCTCAGTATTCCTACCAACGACTTCCTGGTGTAATTCTCCCGGCGCATTTCAAGACAAAGAAACAAGCTAAATTAACATAATGAGCTTTGGTTTCATGATTCTCCTTTCTTTTGTTCACAGTGTCTTGAAAGTCTTTCGACAAAATTTACGACTCAGTTTTCTCAATCAGAATGAATTTAAAAGGTTATTTGATGTGAGAAAACGTCGAGAAATTTGAACCTTTCCGCTGGAGAGTAACTATTCATTGCGAAGGACCTGAGTTGGAGAAAGAAAAATAGAAAGAAACAAAAGCGACTGAACGATATATCTTCAGCAATCGGATCCCCCTGTGGCGTTTATATGAAAAGCTTAGGATGTATGATGATATAATCTTTTGTGAGCTGACCTTGAGCGTCTCAGTCTTTCCAAGAGCACACTATATTTACAAATCTGCACATTTTTATCCCTTCAAAATTAGGATAAATTTCGATCAGAAATTGAATTACTTTTTTCTTGGAGGAGTAGGGTGGGTGAGGTGGTTACATGAATATAAATTTTTAAAATTATTCAGAAGCTGTCGAATAAAGAAAAATTATAGCTATTTGTGTCTCGAAAATGCTACAAGTATTCACACTCCGTTATTCATCTATTAACCTATTTATACGGTTCGATTCCAGAATTTTAATTATAAAAATCTTAAGCAACAATGATAACTTTTTAATACTGTTCAATTCCAGATTTTAATTCAAGAATTAAAAAGTGAGAGTAATAACTCAGTAGTTTTACCTCCTTCAGCAGATGTATACCATAATTTTGTTTTCTTTCATACCTTTCTCATCGTATTTCCTATTGACATTGTGCGTAAAATGAAGTCATATTTTGCACCTGGCACGCTAAGTTTTTGAAACATATACAATTAATTCACAATTCATCATATTACATAATTTTACTTAGTGACGTTACTCTTACGTATATTGACTCTTTTATTACGCACATATATTCGATCTGTCTTCAAAAGAATTTAGCTTTATTAATATAACTATATCCGTCATGCATTGAAAATTACAAGCATTTGTGTGTGTTTTACGCTGTCGGGCTCTGAATATTGGACATGGATATGAGGTCTGAATCGAGAAAATGTATTGAACCCATATGCTATTTTCTGATATATTGCTTTAACATTTCTCTAAATAATATCATAATGCAGATGCTCTCTTTTATAGCCAGATTGCAACGTTGTTTAATTTTGGTCACCTTAAACGTATCTGTACAAAAATACAAACAGTTTAAGAGAATAAATCAGTGAACCGCGCGAAAGTTTGCGACACAGTCACTCATAAATAGAGAAATGTGTACAGCATTTATTCGCTCTTCACCTTTCAGGCTCCTGATTCGATCCTGATGCAAACCCATGCAATGATAACTTGCTGCTCAAGAAAGGTTCGCGTCTTCTCCAGTTTCCTCTACCTCCAGTCCGCCGATAGGGCATGATATAATTATTTGAACTTGTAAAATTGGGAAAAAATATAACAAACGGGGATATGCTGCTAACAAGTAATGTATTGTAGGAACAATGTGTCAGGGCATTGTCCGTAGACCCAGCTCCATTTGTCTAGTTTGGCTTTAGTCTTTATCAGACAAGACCTATAATAAACAAATGGAAAGACCCTGTCTTATTTGAGTTAGGTGTGTTCAATTACAAATCAGACGTCAGGTCAGTCAAAGGTAAATATCAGATATGCTACAAGGTACGTAAACCATGGAAACGAATGTCAGTTGCATGTCAATTTAGTTTACTTGTCCTTGCATCAGGCACTGCTAGTTCGTTGCAAATGACCGTTATCTGTACAGTTTACCCTACAATTCAGTTATTCTTACTTTACAGCTCTTGATGTCATTACCTGCCCGAATTTCGAGGATTAATAAATCAGCCTACTTTAAATAATGAGATAACATCACACAATGTGGTCACACAAACAGAACTCAACTATAGGAGATTGATAGTAATTAGCAGTCTCGATAACCCCAAACGATTCCATGGAGTCGGCTATAATTTAATCAATTTATCATTTAAACATCCATAATTTTTGACACTATAGGACAGAATGGTGTTTGTAAATAAGCGTAGGCGTGTCTTAAAGCAAATTTCTGATTTGTTTGTTGGTAACACATTAAAGAGGTTTGCAATACACTTTACCCAAACTCTTGCTTCCTATTCACTCAGAAGAACGTGAAATGTTGTTGTTGTGGGGTTTAACGCCATTTTTCAGTGCACGATAGGCTTTACATGGCGGCCATTATTAATGGTGGAGGAAGAAACCGGGAAATCCGCAGAAAGAACTACCTATCCACGAGAAGCTACTGACAAACTTTCTCAAATATCCAAATTCGCCGAATCTTAGACTCGAATACACGCAGACAGAGGTGAGATGGCAGTGATCCGTAACGGAGAGCTCTTTAGACCACTCGGCCACTCGGGGCCCCAAACTTGAAATGATTCGTGTGGTAGGGTTTTTCATATAACGTTGGCAGCACATCAGCTTTGCATTCTTACATTCCCGACTGTGATCACCGGTTTCCAGCAAGTGCAAAAATAATGGGTAGCACACCATAGTGGTGTTGTTCTTCCCTGGGTTCCACTGATTTTTTTAATTCAAAGGCGATCACGTTCCATCCTCAAATATCGATAGCACTTTAAGTTTCAGATCATGGGGTTTAATTTATGCAGAGAGCTGGACTTCATGGTCAAATTTATAAAGTTTCAGTTCAAAGAACAGAAAGAAAAAAATCAGTACTTTAAAAAACAACATAGGTATGAAAAGCAACTTTAAAAACATCTGACGTTTGTTGACAGACATGACATCAGATATCGACTAGGTTGTCTTCTTCCTACAGTTTTCATCGACTAACCTTTTCTGCTCTGTTTGATTACAATTCTAAGTATAGATCGAGGTTGTGAGTAACGTTGCGCGTGCTATTCTGCCTAGATATTTTCGCATATCTCTGCATAAAGTTGCCAAAAGAGTTAAATTTTGCATTTGTATCACTACGCATTGGAAGCGTATTTTGATTGCAAAGCCCTGTCCAGTAAATTCTTCTTAGGTATGGATTGAGTTGCACACCTGTAATCTTAAG